ATAGCTTTTAGTACCTAGATTTTATTACTAACAGTCTATCTGTGAACTAATTACATTCAAATCCGTCCAACCGTTCCAGCGTGAAGGAGTAACAAACAGACTTACAAATTCTTTTTTTTAATTTTCTATTATAATAGCAGTATGACTATGTTACGTAGTTAATAGTTAACATTGTATTTAGCCACTGATTACTAAATAGAGTAAGTTTTTTTTTAAAAGGATTCAATGCCTTTTTCAGAATTTAGTCATTATACAGACTTGGAAGAGATTCTTATATTCCATTCAAAAATTATATCGTGCGGGAATGAGAAAAAAAATGATGTCATGAATCTAAACATCAATATTAAAAGTCAGGTTTTACGTAATGAGAAATATACATAAAGGAATAACCTGAAAAGAACGACATTGTAACTCAGTATTGAGATAAAAGTATGTTTGTCAACCGATGTATTTTTGTTTAGTAGTTATTGACGAGTTTTATTGTTTTTATTATGAATAACAAAATTATGAAAACAATAATTATTAGAATGGCTAAATTCTTTTCATATGTCATGTTTTGCTGAAATTTTCTATAATGGTTATTGTCGAATTTCGTCTTCCTCTGTTTTCCGTATACATATTATATTTAAATAAACGTTTCAAAATGAATACAACGTATAACGAACAATAATAATTTTAGGCGAATTGTTTCCCTTTATTTGATAGTTTCTCCTTTATCGCCATCTGGGGAGAGTGGGAATGGGGTCACAAAATAACTTTTCAGTTATACATATAATATCTCTAATAACGAAATTATTTTAAATGGAAGTTTCTACTCAACTACATTTGTAACATCTAAACTTTACGCGTGACAATGTAGAAATATAATATATTACACTGTATGGCTTAAACAAACCCAACTTTTATACGCAACTACAGTTGTTTATAATTAATCAGTCTAAAAGCCACATAACATATTGAATTGAATTGTATTAATTATATAGTATAAAAGTAAGTCTGTTTGTCCATCTTTCGTAACTACAAAACCCTGTTATAGGTATTTTAGATCGTAATAAATAGGTACCTAGTTATTTAAGTTTTTTTACAGATTTTGTGTTATCAAGCTTTTAAACCTCATAGCTTTTTGATAACTTCAAATATCACTTTGAGTAAATGAACGAGATATTTCAAAAATGTTTTCGTGACCTTTGATCTGTAAATCTCGTGACGCGTTCACGAGATTATGCGAGCCACGTAATGTTTAAGCCAATTTTTAATGTAAGTACTTACGTATCCAAATTATTTGTGTGTCTGCATGTGCCTGCAAATCTCCCTATTTATAATTAATAATTATTAAAGATTTCACGGGTACATACAGGATTTGGGTACTACGTTAACTACTGTGCATCCCGGGAAAAGTTAATATTCCCACGGGATAAGTAATAGGTAGAAGTTTTAATATTTTAAGGGTTGAAGCAAAGTGTGGTTAAGTCGGTAGTATAGAATAATCATATTGTAAAATTTTCAAATATTTATTTGAAAATGATAAACTTTTACATAATATTTCTTTTGACATACATACTTGGAAATACTTTTACGTCCAAGAAACAAAGCAGTAACTACGAGTAAATAGGTATACACAATACTTTGTTAGTGCATGGAATAAAATTGTAACGACTTGTTACAAAATTGCATATTGAAATTTGGAATATTTTTGCGTACAAGGACCTATATATAGAGCTTGTAAGTTATTTTATAGAACGACTGTGTAATTCTTTAAATTTAGTTCGTAATCACTTCGTATGATGCAGCTCTGTTACAGCTTGTCTATTTAGGTAGGTACACAAAAATTTAATTTTATAGGCACATATCTATACTGATATTATAAAGAGATAAAGTTTGTGAGTTTGTGACATAGGATACTTTTTATCCCGGAAATCATCCCTTAAGGGGGTGAAAATGGGGATGAAAGTTTATATGGGGAATCAACCTAGGAACGAACACGAACGAAGCGAGGGTGAGTCGCTAGTAGGTAGTATTATAATAATAAGTTAAAAATCGAGAGTAGAATATGGAGTCTCCAGCATCCATACTAATATTATAAATGTGAAAGTGTGTTCGGTTGTTTGTTTGTTTGTCCTTCTTTCACGTCAAAACAGGGTGACGAATTGGCGTGATTTTTTGTGTGGAAATAGTTGAATGGCTGGAGAGTGGCATAGGCTACTTTTTACCGCAGGAGATTATCTAATTCCCACGAGAAAACGCGTTATAATTCAATTCAAAAAAGTATTTATCGTCAGAATTAGTTGAAACTTAGTAGGTATTAATGGTCTTCAATAAAATTAAATAAATAATTCTTTTAGCATTTTTCGAAATTCATGCTATAAGGGGGTAAAATAGGTGATGAAAGTTTGTATGAAACTACCTTTTTAGAGATTTTTTTTGTAGTTTTAGCGCGAGCGAAGCCGCGGGTTCTGCTAGTAGTATATAAAGGTTTAGTCTAAGTTTAGAAATAATACAGAGAATACTTCCTCATACGAACCAAACTCGCACTGGTCCAATTTTTAAGAAATTAATTTATTCAAATATTCTTTTTTACTATCAATTATACTTCAAACGTACTATTTATTGAAAAACATGGCACGTGCTCTTTGTTAAGTAACTTTCTAACAAAGATAAACTCGTGTCGCCTAATTTAGTCCCGAATTTAATGAATTTTGTATGGAGTACGGTTTAGCTCTAATGAATGTACGTAATTAGGCCAAATAATAACAATGCACAACGGTAACAAGTTTGTTATATACCAACATATGAGTTACAGTGTCATTTCATTATTATAGCCACTCTCTAATACTTTTTAGGCAACTAGCAAACTGCCTCGACTTTGTTTTTCTTTTCTAAAATATTTAGAATTTTGCATTTTTGTAATATTGTTTATTCTGCTCCCAGAGCGTCCTGACCTCTGTTTTTACTCTAAATAAAAACGTCAGAAAATCATCACTAATTCATACATCAAATCAGTACCTATGCATTATCATATAAGTACCTACTTAGATAAAAAACTAAGAAATATATTAAGTAATCATAATTTATGTCCTTTTGTAATCTGACCAATTTCAGTCACGTCGGCAAATGTCACCGAGATTTTTTTACCTATATCCCGATGGGACGACCTCGACTCGACACGACCGGTGAGAGATCAGGCACAGGACTTAACTGCTCTCCTAGGCGCCGTATACTAGAGTACACGCCGCCATCTTCCCAACTTCATACCCATTGCAACTTCTAAAAACCTAGTAATTATTTTGAACGACCCAGAATCGAAACCAACACCTCACAATCTGAAACTAAACAATGTACTTACCAGCCACTAGACCAGAGAGACGAATGATAATTAGTAATTACGTGTCCAAAAAAAGGACGGATAAGGTTAAAAATTTTTTTAGTAGGTACTCAAATAATAAACGAAAGTTTTGTAAGTATGTAGATACTACAAATGTTTTGAGTTTTATAATCAACAATAAACTCTACATTTGCCTCCCCATTTTAAAATTGAAATAAAGACATTTTATACGAGCCATATTATTCTGTTTCTGTTAGATTATTTAAACGATAAATATGCATGGAATTACAATACATTGATGCAAAGTTAACCTTTTTTGTAATGGAAATATTATCATTGTTTTGACTTTTTTGTAATTCGAATAATAAAAAATAAATGCTGGGACATTAACACACAGCACCATCTAGTTCCATGGTAAGCTAGGAAGCTTGTTTTATAGATACAAGATAGTTGATACACTACACATATTATATAACTTTAAATACATACATATTATAAATATAAACACCAGTGACTGGGTACAAACATCCGTGCTCATCACACAAATGAATGCCCCCAGCGGAACTGGAACCCGCGACCGCTGGAACAGAAAGTAGGGTCACTATCAACTAAGCCAAACGTGTCGTTAATCTCCTAATCTTTAATACGTGGTAAATTTCAAATTTAATGGCTACCTTATTTACAATCGACACGTATTTACAATCGACTAATAAAATAGTCGATTTGCTATAAATTTTTTGGTATGTAAATAATAAAAGTGGCTCAATCGAAAGCGACAAAATCTCAAGGACTCTCTAATTAATTGTATAACTAAAACTTATTTATCTGCGCTATCGCCTACTGGAATATTTAGGAATAACATGGATGATAACGGTAGGGACACTGCTTTTTACTATTTTGTGAATGCTACACATAAATATTTCTCTATGCTCTTTCTAATGGACATAACAAGTCACAGTATTTATTTCCACTTTTTACCAGGACTCGAAAACCTGTTCAATTTTTAAGCCGGTTTTGGTCATTCATCCCAAACCGAAAGACTTTTCGGTTTAAGGTTTCGGTAACGTTCTTTAACCGGTTAAAATGAGTTTTTGTGAGTTTACATTTGATGCGTCTTTACCAATGGTGAATGATATTCACTAAATATATGTTTCTTATCAATCTATTTCTGTATTAAAACCGAAATCCAATCTTCCTCTAACCTTCAACCATTATTATTTCGGTTTACTAAACCGTTCGTTTTCATTAACCGGTTAAAGAACGACCGATGAATTAACCGTCATAATATCGAAACAAAACTTATTTTTTAAATCGATTCCGTGCCCGCTTTTCTACTTATACAATTATTTATATAATTATAATAAAAAGACAGCCAAAACATCACAATTTTATTTTTTGAAATCTAATTTGTATATAGTAAAGCTACCTTAATACTAAAATTATAAATGGTTAAGTCACACTACATATTATGTAATAGTAGTAATAGTGATAATAGTATTATAAATTAATAACTAATAAACGAAATTTTGCTATGAAAATGCTGCCATACTGAAAAAATCAAAACGTCAAATTGTTAACGTCAAATAAGTGACAACTTAACTAAAGTATCTCATTTATGTGATGAATTACTTTAGTTTCCTTTAAATATAATTCAATTATCAATTTAAAATGTCGGAAAATGGGCACGACCATGCGTAAAAAGACCCAAGTATCATTTGTAATCCGAGATGAGGAAGAAAGGAGGCATAAAAACGGTATTAGTTCGTTGCAATTGGATCCAATACAAGGCAGGCTTTATTCGGCCGGTAGAGATGGAATCATTAGGGTCTGGCATACAGGGGGTGGGTCCCAAGATCGATATATACAGAGCATGGAACACCATACCGACTGGGTGAATGATATAGTGCTCTGCTGCGGTGGAAAGAATCTTATAAGTGCCTCGTCAGATACAACAGTTAAGGTATGGAACGCGCCCAAAGGATTTTGTATGTCAACTTTACGAACTCATAAAGATTATGTGCGGACCTTAGCGTATGCGAAAGATAAAGAACAAGTCGCTAGTGCAGGCTTAGACCGGGCGATATTTTTATGGGATGTAAATACATTGACAGCTTTAACGGCGAGCAATAACACTGTAACCACATCATCGTTGGTCGGAAATAAAGAATCGATATACAGCCTTGCTATGAATCCACCTGGTACAATTTTGGTTAGTGGTTCCACTGAAAAGGTTCTTAGAGTATGGGATCCAAGAAATTGTTCTCGACTTATGAAGCTAAAAGGTCATGCTGATAATGTTAAAGCATTAGTTGTTAGTAGGGATGGATCACAATGTGTATCGGGAAGCTCTGACGGCACTATTAAGTTATGGTCTCTATCACAACAGAGATGTGTATCAACAATTCGTGTACATTCTGAAGCTGTTTGGGCTCTTTTAGCAACTGAAAATTTCTCTCACATAATTTCTGGTGGTCGAGATCGTCTAGTCATTATAACAGAATTACGTAATCCAGATAACTTTCTGATAGTTTGTGAAGAAACTACACCAGTCCTTAAATTGTGTTTTACTGCTGACCAACAAGGTGTATGGGTAGCTACATCAGATTCTGATATAAGATGCTGGAAACTACCTCCATTGAACTCACTAAACTCAGATATGTACAACCAAAATAACTATAACACAAACAATGTATATCAAACACAGCCTATCCACAACATTGTAGGTGGAAGAGCAATAAAACATTACACAGTACTTAATGATAAGCGTCACATACTAACAAAAGATACTAATGACAATGTTGTTCTATATGATGTATTAAAAGCATGTAAAGTAGAAGATTTAGGAGAAGTCGACTATGAAGAAGAGTTAAAGAAGCGTTTTAAAATGGTTTATGTGCCTAATTGGTTCAATGTGGATTTGAAGACTGGAATGTTAACAATACATTTAGGTCAAGATGAAACAGATTGTTTTAGTGCATGGGTGAGTGCGAAGGAAGCTGGATTGACAACAGAAAATGATCAAAAAGTTAATTTTGGAGCCCTTTTATTACAAGCATTGTTAGAACATTGGAATCATCCGAATAGAGTGAATGAAGCCGGACAGAAAGTTATTGGGAATAACTTCTTTAGTGTTCCTTTACATACACCTTTAATATTCAGTGAAGTTGGAGGAAGAACTCTGTATAGGCTTCAGGTAAGTACATTGATATTGGTATTATGTGGAACAATACAATTTTATCCCTTTTCTACATACAAATATATTATAATTTTCAAATAATAAATACTAACTCAAATATTTAAACATGTCTCTATAGACATCCACATAACTTCAAATCTGAATGATTGAAAGATTAATAAGTTATTTAAGTTGTAAGGTTCTCTTAGACATGCAGGTTTCCTCACAATGTTTTCCTTTATTGTAAGACAAGTGGTAATCATGTTGGAAAAGATTCGCACACATAAAAATTTAAGAGGTGCAAGGCCCGAGATTGAGAGAGACGTTTTCGAGATTTCTCAAACAAACACTTTATCACTGGGCAACCACTGCATTCTTCTGCTTTTTAATTTTTATTTATAATATTTATAGGTTGGAGATGCAGGAGGAGAAACAGAAGGCAATCTTTTAATGGAAACTGTTCCTTCATGGGTAGTAGATGTTGCAATTGAGATGGCTGCGCCGAAATTGAACAAGCTACCATTTTATTTATTGCCACATTCAACTTGTCAAAGTAAACAGGATAGACAAAAGAAGGTAAAATTGTAATTTATTTATTTATTACTAAATATATTTACATATGTAACACATCTATATATTGTAGCAATAAAAAAATTTATGGAATCTATTCCTATATAAGAAACTACCTACTCATACTCGCTTCGCTCGTTTTCGTCCCTAGGTTGATTCCTCATACAAACTTTCATCTTCATTTTCAGCCCCTTAAGGGATGATTTTCGGGATTAAAACTATCCTATGTCCTTCCTAGGGTCTCAAACTATCTTCTTATCTAATTTCATCTAAATCACTCCAGTAGTTTCGGAGCTTATTCAGTAAAAACAAAAAAAAATCTTTCCTCTTTATAATATTAGTATAGATAAGTGCGATTGAAATCATTTTTCAAGTGTCACAATCAGCTGTCTCTTTTTTATTTATTAACATAACAGTTATTTTTTTGCCAGCAATTTTTAAATATACTCCCAAAAAAGGACAACTTTGAGCAAAATTAACAACATCACAATCACATTTCATTTTATATATTATTATGTAGCTATTATAGCTGAACCCTGCAGACATGCTGCTTTGACAAAATAAAAATAATAAAAGTTGCTTATTTGCTGGTGTAATAATAATACATAAATAATAATTAATATAAATAATTCTGTATTTATTATTGTATACATTCTTTATAATTCCTACATTGAAAATTGTTCTATTGCATAATGTTGATTTTCTCCTACAATCCTACATAATAAATGTACTGCTAATAATTTAGTTCTAATCTTCTTTTTTTTGCATTATTTCTATTAAAATAGATAATTCATAAATGATAAAATTCTTTAAATATAAAATATTGCAGGACCACTTAATATTAAACAATTTACAATCTTATAAAGCAGCGGAAACCATTCCTATTCCCATTTTTGTCAATAAATAATATATATTTTGGCCGAAAAATGAAAAGCAAGGATAAAAATATTATAAATCAGATTTTTTAACAAATATTCCAGGACCGTTTAGTCGCAAACGATTTTATACAATGTCGTAAAGTAGCAGAGCATGTCGTGGAGAAGATCGTTGGTAGTGGGGATGTAAACGGGGCGAGTAAACATGAGGACAATAATGACTCGCCAGAAGAGAGAGTTGAATTGCTTTGTTGTGATCAGGTTCGTGTTTTTTTTTTATTAACAAATATTATTTATACTACTTCACATTCTTGGATTTGTGTATTTAGATTATGAAATTGAATAAAATTTTCTATTTTGTTCTCTTTTTATCTGTTTTGCATTCTAGCAAAACATATTAGGCTTAAATATTAAATATTATCATCAATTAAATGAGCAGTCTGTAAAATAACAACTAAGTGATCTGTGTAATTTTGAACACCAAAGTTATTTTGACACTATATCGAAATATAAATTAATAGATAATAGAAAAGTTTTACAATTAAATATTAATGAATTTCATTAGATTTACGCGAATATTTGACATTTTAAATAAAACTATATTTTCTGATTTTTAGCGGTTTTTTTATTTTTGGTTCCTGACGTTCTGAATGCTTTAAAACAATCTCTCCCGTAACCACGATTGCTGCAAAGCATTCTAAACTTCGGGAACCAAAATAAATCTGTGACAAAAGTCGAAAAGATAGTTTTATTTAAAATTAAATAATGATTAGTCATTTTAAAGTGTTATATAATAATTGAGTCCATGACTATAATAAAGTTCATATTTTTAAATCATAACTATCATTTAACAGGTTTTGGACCCTAACATGGACCTACGTACAGTCCGACACTTTATATGGAAGTCCACAGTAGAATTTACACTGCATTACCGAGTGTTGAAACAATGAAACTCGGAGTATATAATTAAGTTTAATAAACACTTGAAGAAGTGCTGTTCGATCCAAAATATGTTCAAGTGAAGTGTTTTATGTTGTGTATTTCAATCTGATTTATGCAAAATTAAATTAAAAAAATAATAAAAACTCATTTTTTATTTTATTTTATATACTACATTTTGTACAAATTAGATTGAAATTAAATAGTAGTCTTCTCTCGTCTTGAACAAAAACTTGTCCTATAAAATATTCTAGCAATGTTAGCCTTAATAGCTCAACCTTAATTTTTTTTGGTCGCTAGTTCGATAATAAATTAAGCTATTTTGGTTACAATTTATATTCAATGGAATAATTATGGTTTTATTTAAATTCTTCAACTAAAAGATTTTGTTAAACCTTTATGAATACATGTTTATTATAAACACAAACGCATGACATATATTTAAGATTAATATAAACAACATGAACGTGTATATCAGTATTGCAAGTGTAAAAAAAAACGAAATTTTAATTTGACATTCCTTGATTATGATCAAATTATTTATTTATTAAATTTAAATACAATCTTTATCACTTGTGCCTAAATATTACGTAAATACTTCTTGCCTAAATTTGTACGCGTCGCCAACAATTTTATATAAATTATTGTAAAAAAGAAATATAACTAAATACCATAGATAAAAGTAACATTCTAAATAAAATATTAGCCAACTAAAATCAACTATTTTCAAAAGTTTAAAAACTATACATATATAAAATACAACTGTATTGCTTTTCTAAAACTAGCTACTTAGGATTAGCAGAATACTCGTATAAAGCGATTAAATTTGCTTAAATAGGTATAATGTAGATAACAGATGGTGAATAAAAAGATACAAATTTATAAAAAAAACATTATTCAGAAGAAATGAAACTCCGATTACTTTATATTATACAATTAATTAGCAATACACAAAGAATCATATAATTTTCATAAAATTATCATCTTTACATAAAAGTATTTTTTTTTAGTATTTGAACCAAGGCATTTTAATGTTGTATAAAAAGATGTTTACTTGAGTTCAGGTATTGTAAATTCAACATGATTATTTCCAAATATTGTGTTATTATTTTAATTTTGTTCCCTGATTGTTAAATGAAGCAATGGTCATAGTCACAATAATTTTAAAATGAGAAAAAGTAAATTTAAATTTGCTTTCATTTATTGCATTAAAAACTATCACAATTTGACGTAGACAATTTAATTGTATTAAAAAGTAATATTTGGTTAATTTTGAATACACATATTTTTAATTAGATAAATAAATAATATATGCATTTTTTTTACTTTCCAATAGCCACAGAACTAACCTTTTTTATCAAGGGCAATATAAAATGCTGAATGGTAATAGAATTTATATTCCAAATATGAGCATTTGCACTGGATATCTTGTATTTTTTTTAAATTTAATATTCGGGTAATTTGAAACCTTCAATTTTATATATTATATAATTTTAATTACTAACAAGCAATTTGTATTTCGATACGTACAGCGAACGTTTCTACAGATCAATGTAAAATCATATGTATGTAAAACGTAATATTTATATTTAAAAAAAAACGAATATTCTGTAATTTATTTTATATCATCACCTTATTATCAAGTTTTATAATATCCATTGAATTTACATATGTATCAAAAATTATTTAATGTATTTTAGTATTTTTCTTAGTTGTAGTTTTTAGATGAAATGTTCTACAAAAACAATATTGATTTGTATATTGTTGGTTGCTTTAGGATTTTTCAACGAGAATGGTATTGTGTTATATTTGGAAATGCTAAAAATTTCTTATGACTATTAGAATAAAGCTTGGATAGCGTGAATATTTAATAAAAATTAAATATTGTTATTTGGAGTTTCTTTTATGAATCTCTCCATTAATCTAAAATAATAGCGACGTTTTGTAGGTAGCACAAAACTTGGGTGATGCAATATTATGAACGCTAAGGTGAAATAATTTATAGTTTTATTTTTTTATTATTTATTAACTGTACAGGACTACGATTTGCTGTGGATTAGTCTGTTTTAATCTAGTTTTGACTTACAGCAAAATGGATATGACGTAAATATACCCCTTTAGTCTATTTTCATGGCGATTGGCACTATCTCTCTAGTGGTGAGGTACAGTAAAATGGATTCTACTCGCAAAGAATTTTTGGACATTTACGGTTTCGCACAAATGAATATATTTTAAAATTTTAATGGTATTAGTATATTAGTATATTTAAAATGGTATTAAGAGGCTAAAATACTACATATTGTGCATATTAGGTAAGCCTCTGCTCATTGGTTTAAAGTTAGTATGTACGGCTGGAGATCCGGAAGTCCTGGGTTCGAGTCTCGATCCGGACGAAGTATTTCGTTACGGATTTTTGTGTGCCGTCGAATCTACGCCAATCGTTTTGAATTGTCGTCCCATCTGAATTTTCGAGTCGAAAGAATAATGAATACATTTGTGCTTACACATACACAGCATTATAATATTTCCTGTGCAGTTGGCTAGTCTGAAATTAGCCGCCATGGCCGAAGTTTACATAAAGACATTATAATACTTACTATTAAGTTGCAGTGTTGTCGTTGTAATTTATTTTTTCCTCTAGTAATGTTGCACATTTCTAACCGAATTCCAAAAAGAGAAGATTATAATTGTGCAGGAGGGTTTTTTTTTTTAATTTAAAAGTGTATATTTATGGGATAGTCCCATACGATCATTGCGATGAATTGATAATGAGATCTAAAGAAAAAGAATTCCTTAACGGTTTTAAAGTAAATGAATAGTGATTCAAAACAATTGATAATAACAATTTGCAAAAAATGTTAGGTACCACTGGCCAGGCTATGCTCAGAAGCTTTATAGTAACTTTATATTACTTTTGATATATGAGCTTTAGGCTTTTGTAAATATTATATATCGATTTGTAACTTTGTCGGTTGAAGTTAGTTACATCTAACAATAAGTTGAATAACCAATTCTGCAACTTGCTGATAAAAATCTACTCACTGCCATAGATAGGTCACTGCCATTATTTCGACTTCAAAATCTTTCAATCTGACGGGTTAGCTGTCAGTCTGACAGACGTCAATTTTGAACAATCAACAAAGTAACCTCAAAAAGCAATGATATAATTCAAAATAAATTACAAAATATGAGTGGAAGGCTAATCGTTCGTTCTATTATTTATAATTTACCAAGAATAGCCTTAACAAACCGGAGTACCTTAACATATAATAAAGCATTTGTAAGTTTATTCAATGTTGACATTCGAGATTTTAGTACTAAGAAAAATGTTAAAGTTGTTGAAAAGAAACACTGTAATATTGGTACTATAGGCCATGTAGACCACGGTAAGACTACTCTCACTGCTGCCATAACAAAGGTATCAGCAAATGATGGTTTTGCAAAGTATGTTCCATACGAGGAAATAGATAAGGCTCCTGAGGAAAAAGCTAGAGGTAAGTAAACAGTTTATTTTCTTCTTAAATTTCTATGGAGTTTCTCTTTTAATCACCGAATATAAAAACACAAAAATATGTATTATAGCTAATTTGTCATTATTAAAGGCTATAAAGAATGTATATTAATATTAAATTACCATTGTCTTACAGGTATAACAATAAATGCAGCGCATGTAGGTTACAGTACAAAAAACCGTCACTATGCACACACAGACTGCCCTGGTCATGCTGATTATATAAGAAATATGATTTCTGGAGCTTCACAGATGGATGCAGCAATCTTAGTTGTAGCGGCAAATGATGGACCAATGCCCCAAACACGAGAACATTTACTATTAGCAAAACAAGTTGGCATTCAATATATTTTGGTATATATAAATAAAGTGGATATTGTAGAGCAGGATGTAAGTTTGTTTTACACTTTAAAAACTATAATATTTATGATTTTGGCTTATTTATATTTTAATTTGTTTCTTTTTTAAATCTAGTGAAAATTACAGTATTTAGCTCAAAGTAGACATTATTTATGCATGATGATATAAAAAAAAATCTCTGTTATCAATATAAAATACTAGCAACTCATCACCACTTCGCTTAAATTCCTCCTTAGTGAAAAACACATACATTTTACAATATGTACTTTTTTCCAGGTTAAATTAATCTTTGGGCTATTGCAGACTAAAATCTATTTCTGTGCCCAATTTCCCCCAGATCTGTTCAGCAATTCTGGCATGTTGAATAAAAAACATCCATCCATCCAAATATTTTTAATTTTGCATTTTTATCTTTTAGAAACGAATTAAGTGACTTTTAAATACAATTAAAATCTACATATATTTTTACTTCATGATGTTTCAGGTTTTAGAACTAGTAGAAATAGAAATGAGAGAAATGTTAACAGATTTTGGCTATGACGGGAATACTGTGCCTTTGATAACTGGATCAGCTTTAAAAGCTTTAAATGATGATCAGTCAGAAATAGGTAATTTAATTTACACTTGTAAATATTATTTTTTGTTTAGCAAGAAATTTCATGTGAGGAGATATTTTTCTCTTATTGTTTTTTCTTTATTTACAAACTCAAAATCAAATTATATTTTTTTGATGTGAAACATCTATTGGTGTGACTTGGCAGTAAAACCGACTGATGGCATATCGCTATCGCCTCTTCCTCCTCCTTTATTCCTCTTCTACACCACCGTTCTAGATCATTCCCTTGTCCAAGCGTATATACTGTATATACGCTTCATTGTAAAACAGTCTCCATTAAAAATACATATTTTCTATTCTACTTATGAATATATATATATTCTCTAATTATTGTTATAATTAAAGTAAATCAATTTTATTAACGCAACTCAATTTTTTTCTTTATTTTACTCCATATTTCGTTATAGGTTTTAAATCAATAATTATGAATTTTAATATTATTATTAACATAGATGTTTTACATCTGCCGGGTCTCCCGAGATTGCCAACTTAATTTTTTCATTGTGTTTTTAATTTAGTAGCTTATTCCATATAAGTATGCCAGTTAAGCACAATTTACTTACCCAATGTCACATAGAATGGATATGTTTTTTTAATGTACAAAATAAACTTTGTAACATTATTTTCAGGTGTACCCTCAATAAGAAAACTATTAGATACCATAGACAATTATGTACCACCAATCATTAGAGATCTAGAGTCGCCATTTTTAATGCCTATAGACAATGCATTCACTGTTCCTGGTAGAGGTACAGTTGTCGTTGGTACAATCAAAAGAGGTGTTATGAAAAAAAACGACGAAGCAGAATTAATGGGCTTCGGACAAAATATAAAAACAACTTTATCTGATATACAGATTTTTAGATCTAGTGTTTTAGAGGTGAGTATTTTGTTATTGAAGTAATTGTTTTAATTTAAATAAAAAAGGGGCCTATAATAATTCAATTTGGATATTAAAATTAAAGTACAGAAGTAGTTAATTACTTACTGTTATTAGTTTTAAAAACATTCACTAGGGCATTAAAAATATATTAATAAAAAAATATGGCTATAATATTATTTCAAGAAAAACATTGTCAAGAAACGCTTATTTCTGATGAAACTTAAATAGTAGAATATGGTATATAGATATACTCCTCTCGCATTCATTGCTTTCACATTGGATTATTTTTATTAAATAACTAATAACTCACCCCCTTGGTTCGTCCCTACTTACATATTAACATTTAGTATAGATTTCTCAGAGATGAGATATTTTGCCGCAGTAAAAAGTATCCTATATGTTGACCGGATAACCAGCTATCATCATACCAAATTTTGTCAAAATCAGTCCAGCGGTTTTACCGTGATGCAGTTACTGACAAACAGACAAAATTCTAAAAACTATAGATTCGGCCTCTGTATCGATAATAATGACTATTTCAATAAGATTTTCCAATACATATTTAACGTACAGATTCGGCTTAGTTACAATTTTATTATATGTATAGATTTTACAATTTCTTTTTTCTAGGCAATTGCAGGAGATAATGTAGGTGTATTATTAAGAGGGATGAAATTAAGATCAGTAGAAACTGGCATGTTGCTATGTGCGGCTAAAAGTATATCTCTTTGTAATCATTATAAGGCCAAAGTTTACTTTCTGTCGAGAAGCGAAGGTGGAAGAAAGAAACCAATATTTTCCAAATATTCACAGCAAATGTTTAGTGGCACTTGGAATATAGCCTGTAGGATTGATTTAGGTAAGTTATATTAAAGGTCAAATAGAATTTTAGACACAATAATAAAAGAGAATATGCATGATTGTTTTAAAAAATGTTATAAAATAGCTTACATCGTTAGCTTAGTTACAGATACTTTAAAAGCCTGCCATTTCGCGCGCTTTTCGTGACGTTACAGTATGTTATACACAGAAATAACGATTCAATTTGTAGGTGGCAAAATCGCTAATCGCTCTGTTATCATAATACTATGACGTCACACTCCGTTCGACCAATGGCGTTGCGTTTCAGCTATTTTGAATTTCCCACCTATTTTTGCACTTTCTTAATCAAAAAGAAATTCAAAATCAAAAAAATATCAATATTGAATAAGTTCAAATTAATGTCAATAGATGGCGCTTTATCGTTATCTTAGTGCTTATTTGCCCAAACTATTAATTTACCTAGTTTTTGAAAAAGAAGAAAAAACTTTCTACTGTAAAGTACAACAAATGTCGGTCGTTTTGACAAATAAGTCAATAATGTACAATCAATAGGAAATCCAAAATAGGTGTATTTCGGTTTAAAAAAATACACAAGGCTAAGGAAAATAAAATGAAATTTTCTTTTGATTTGTTCTTTATTCCTTTTTTTGATTTCTTTCGATAATTTTTTGATTTCCTTCGCGCTAAAACAGCTGATATGAATGAAATTTTGTATACAAATATAGTGCAGAGGAGCACTATATCTGGATACAAAAATATACTATATCTGTAAAAAAACTTGTTAAGCACCTAAGCGAGGATTTCACTAATGTTTTATATTATTATTAGATTTTTTATATTATTAGCTTTTGGATATTTTTCCAGAACCTTCCATGGAAATGATAATGCCGGGAGACCATGGTGAAGTGTACCTTACTTTACTAGAAAGCATGGTAATGACTCAAGGTCAGCCGTTCACCATCAGAGAGAACAACGTGACCGTGGCGACCGGCATCGTGACGGACAGACTGACGAGTGTGAACGTGCCTAATGGGAAGTTAGGGAAAGTTGTGTTGAATTTGGAATAGTTTGTATATATGTATGTATAGGAAATAAAATATTTATTGATATTGTGGTTTTATTTGTTTGTGTATGTTATATGTATTTTATTAGTCTAGGGGCTAGCATACGGTCTTCGATTCGAATCCCAAGTCGGATCAAAAATATTACTGGATCTTTTTAGTACAAGTAATCGAGCAAACCAGAGTTGAATAGCTGTACAGAGACATGGGCTATGTCTTGTCCATGATTTAAGCGGATATGACAAAAGCAGGGTACATGGATGAAATTTCTAGATCTTCTACTGTTCATAAAAATCAATAATTTTAACCCACTTTTGTGGCATCGTAATGACTGTCTATTCAAGTGTCTCATAAAAACCGTTATACAATTATTATTACTCATTATACAAAAACAAAAAACTACAGGGGGTGGTAATCCAACAAAATGTCAACACCGAAAATAAAACTTCAAAACATTTTCATCATTAATATATTTTTTGTCAGAAGGTAATTAATATCGTGCCAAAACAGTAACAAATTATATTAGTAAGAAAAAATCATGACTGCATCTAGCATGTACTACTGAGAAACGATACACTACTGTCTGATACAACATTTAACACTTATTTCACAACATTTCAACGTATAGTTAGAGATGGCAACACTATTTGTAATAAAACGTGAACTATAATAACACCGATACGTCTAAAGAGTATGTACCTACGCGTGTGAGCAGACGTGCGAAATCTTAACACTTTCAACATCTAAACGATTGTTTTAAAAAATTTAAATTAAATATAATAACAAATACATTTCATTGGCAAGTTCAAAAATCAACAATCATGTCAAAACAAAAAAAATCAACAAGTTGGCAAAATCGAGAACAATTTTATAAACAAATCACAAGGTATATTTCATAACAGTTCATTAGTCAATTCATTTCATCGAAAAAAAAAACGCCAAATTTATCTTAAAAAGAAAACATTTTTTTACATATAACCTAGCTCAAGTCTTACTAACATACGGTCCTCAAAACTATTAAAACATTTCACACAGAGAGTTTTAATATTAAATAGAATAAGGATTAAATAGTTAGAGGACGTATTGAGATGACTTGTTACAAATAAATATATATTTTTACACTGGCAACACTCAATTTGCACGTTCTACCCACACAAATACACCGACCTTTCAAAGGGATGACCGTTAAACCTGCTATCAGTCTGATTCATGCTTCTATCTAAAACATTAACCACAAATATATTTGTATACACGGATCTAACATGAAGAGAAGTCAAAACAACTAGTTAGCGTCCCACACTTCGTCCGTATCTGAAGTTCCATCAAAATTTCTCTAGCAATTTCGTTTAAGACTAAAAATTTGATTATCATTTTCATTCTTTTACAAAAAGACCCATCTACATTTTAATACGTAAATATTTCATTAGTTTTTTTCTTCTATTTACTGTGACAGCCGAGCTATACTTAATAATATTCCTTGGTCCATGCGACAGCAAACTTGGCATCTTATGAAATATCTGTTCCATAACAATTTCATTTTAAACACTTGTGCTTTGTATCACGCGATTTCTATATTACACATCTCTGGTAAAACGGTAAAAAATACGCCAAGTTCGATTTGAAAATCTCATGAGATTAAAAATCATAATTTATTAATACGTTAACCAAACTTTGGACAGTTGAAGAAAAATGCTTGTTTTTTTTAATAAGAAATGGAAATAAACATTTTATGACAAATAAGAGACGTGTAGTATAAAATGGATACGACGCATCATAATACATCACATTGCGTCTAAACCTTTTACCTTGGAATTAAGTTTTAATAAGCTCATAAAATTCGTTTTTCACAGATAGTATATTTTGTAATTCATTAAATATTAAACACATCTTCACTTTTACGGACAGACGCAAAGATTTTTCAAGGACTAGCGAATTTTTCATTCATCTACACTTTACAAATACATGTTCTGCCTACAAAGCATCGTTAAACAACAAGTCATAACAAAAAAAAAATATATAAAAAAAAAACAGAATGTAGATTAAAAATACATTGATAATGGGCATTTTGAAACAGTGGCAGTGTATCTGCTTACGAGAAAATGCTGGGACATTAAAAGCGATCTGTGTTTTAAAGAATTGTCTGACTAAACATATGTAAATCTATAATTCGATAAAACTTTATATTATAGGATACATTTAAAATACTATTTTATTTTGGTGCTGATTTAAACTCAATACATCCTAACGTGAGAACTATCAACAATCTGACACCCAGAAAATTTCAATATTGTCGTACCGTTCGTTTACAGTTCTTGGCGTCAGTCACGATCGTAGCAAAAGTTATAAAAATATATTATCTTTGTTATAAGAAAGTTCACTGAACGTAGCGTACTAAATGAGATTACTCTTATTAAAGGTATAAGCAAAAATTCGTACATTCCCAATACATTCCGACGAGAGTACCGACACTGAATCACTTAAACTTAGAAATACGTTGGTGTTAGGACTTTAGCACCGCGACAAGAGAACTTATTACGTATACGTATAATAAAATATTTAATGGCGCATCGTTAATAGCAACAGAGAAAAATAATTAAATAATCCCCGTGAACAAAACGTGAGTTAGGTATAATACTTGTGCACCCTCACATGCGGATTGATCACGTGTACTATGCGAGTTAACTTCAAATATAAAACGTCACTCAGTGTGTTAACAAATGATGTAATCCGTCGCCCGCCATACTTAAACAGTAGCTAAAGTGTAAAAAAAACTTAATTCATCGCTTACATCTATAAAAATATTTAGAAATTCTCACTTACATTTAAGAGGAACTGGCAAAATAAATCCTGTATTTTCCATAACCGTCAACTCAATTACAAAATAACCAGATTTTGGTCCTCACGTATCAAAAATTCATGATGCCATTCCTATAAAACTGGACAGAACCATACGCGAATCGGCGAGTAGCAAAAATATTCTATGAACGCTAAACAACCGCTGAAAAATATATAGAATCCACTAAATACCCAATACAAAACCGTCTAAAGTTACGGTAAAACCTCGTAAAAGCAACGTTAAACTTAACAAACTAATTACAGTAAGATAAAAACGTTGGTGGTAGGCCTACGTGCGAAGAGCGACTGGCTCAAACTTATCACTAGACATCGGATTATATTTTGGCAAAAACAGTACGTATATCATTGGAAACTCTGACAAAAAAACTAATACAAGCCTACATAAAAGTAACTTTAAAAATCGCGTTTTAACCGTGCGTTTAACAATACACTGACAGTAAACCCCGAACTTCGTATGAACATCTCATATAATCCATATAACCCGATGTCGACTTATCACAATAAATCCTTTAAAGCAGGACTAACCACCGTTATTGTCCACACTCATCCCATAAACACTAAATTTTGCAACTAATATAGAACATTTAGCCGTATCGACCGCAACTCCTTAGTATCAAAAACAGTGATTAAAACTTCTTTATTAGAATAGAGTATTTGTGCACGTAATGCGAACGTTGGCGTCCGACTAGGGGCCAACTTTAGTTCAGTTATCGTATGAAGATATATAACCGATGTTAGAAATGTGCATATATTGATTACACATATCGATTAAGTTATCGATTACTATCAAACATTAGTAGTTGCCGTGGAATAGAAAAAAAAACATATAACTGGGATTATAATGAAAATTTCGGTTACGTATATACTTCACACGATAACTCCAACTAGTATTTCATAAGACAAGGACGATATAACTAACCATCACCTCACAAACGTAGTAAAGGACACCAAATATTATGCTATAATAGTTATATAGTATTAGAGGATTCTTTACGGTTATATTAAAAAACACGTAATTATAAGATTCGTACTGTAAGCTTTAGGGCCGTAACCGCACATACAATCTAGACAACTAGCATCGTTTAAAATAGAATAAAAAACCAACTACATTACATCAACCTTGCAGGAATATATATCTAAACAGTGAGTTATGAATACTTCTTGCTACATTTTTTTTCTTGTTCATCATTTTTTTTCTATAAATATCCATTTCGTAAATTATTATCAAATTCGATAAAGCTCTAAGATTGATCCACATTCACATAAATAAATTCTCAGACGTTTTAAACGAAATGAAGCGATCTGTATCTTTAAGAAGACCTAACATTAAAATAATTACGTTTAGATATGAGCGATTACTTATGCTAATGGCTCATCTAATAAATGTAAACGATTGTCTCGAATACGTACTTTCTAAAAATCGATATTGTTTATAACAACATTTATAATTGCTATACATTACGCTCTGAGATTACCAAAGAAGTTCTTTAATTCACACACAATTATAACCATTCGTAATCGCTCACACCCTCTATTATATATAAGTCGATTTTATACTAACTCCATTTTAAAAATAAGAGAAATTTTCCAGTCTTGCTAAAGGTACGTCCACCTAAGCGATTCCTAACAAAGTCTAGCTCGAACATTCTAAGTTGTGCTTTGTACATTCAGGATTAAGCAAAATAACTATAAGTAGATTTGTCTAGCACATTAACAGTAGAGGCACAGTATAAAAACCCATACAGTAGACGATCGCCCATTGGTTTCAACGGAATTTGTTGCCAAATGCAAGGGTTGTCAAAAAATACCAATGTTCAATGGAAACGGTTTCTAAGTTAAAGCTCTGTAGTGCCATCTCGTGGCAAGTTAGTTGTAACCGTCAATCCTAAAGCCATTTCCCGACTGGCATATAAAAGTAAGTATGACAGTCGGTATCGCGCAATTCGCATCTACTCCCGCACGTTCCGTACGTTAGACGACTGTATGGATTAATAGACTGTGATAAAAGTATGGGGGTCTTATAAAAATCTTTGCAAATGACATAATATATCAACATTTATATCTTATATAGGTTATAAAATAGCCGTTTTAAATTAATAAAAAATATTCGCTACCAAATCACTCGAGCAATTTCCACTATCTACCAA